GACTCCTTGAGTGTGAAAATGCATGAGGTGGGAGAACTGGCGAGAGACCGAGTTTCTTTCAGACAGACTGTGATGAGAGCAAAGAACCTGCTACATGATGATGATGATATTATATTGTACCTTACAAAGCATATACCAACAAAGAAAAATGGCGCAGATCAAGAAGTAGACCAAAAACCAGTTGGGAAGTGTAACATCACAGAAGCTATACAGCACCACCATATGTCTATGGTCAAAGCTGCCAGAAGAGCATAAAGGAGGATCTTGTATCTCCCTCGACACCCGAAGTGGTGAAAAAGAATGTAAAGAAGAAGTATCAAAACTTACTATACGTTCATTATAGAGTCAAAAGCCGTGGTCTCCAAAGTGGGAGACGGAACCAACTATGGGCGCGGGAACTTTCAAGTGGGAGGTGGGGAAAAAAGAGGCGGGGTTGGTGGGTCAAGTAACTTTGAAATTCAACGTATATTCACTTGCAATAATCCGAATTTTCAGTTTTAACAATTCTGAAAACAAAGCAGCGTTGCCAAACAGATATCAAGACAAAATCGTGCCACCCATCACATAATTATTTGGACACTAAATGACTAGCTGTTTTTTCTTTTGTTTTTTGGCGCTTTGATTTATATAGACGTTTTATTCCCCCCTCTAATTTCTTGTTAACGGTGCCTGTGATTTTTCTTTTTGTCATCCTCATTCCAATTACATTTTGTTATTTTGGTTAGTTCGACGTTAGTCTACCCAAACAGAGTAGGTCACATTTCATTCACAAGTTTGGTGGGCTGGTCGGCTTCCTGAAGGTTACGGGTGTGTCCTGCTCTGTAGTTTGGTTTCTGAGATGTCTTGCATTTACGTTTTCATTCCGAGAAAGAGAATGCATGTGACATAGGTTGTAGCACTCTCTAGAGGGGTTGTGTAATGCACAGTTTCTCCATATTTTTGGAGTGTTAAAAGCGCTGGCGTGCTGAAATATGCAACACGCGATACCAACAGCATTGCGGAACACCCCGTAACCGTGTGCGAAGTTACGGGGCTCAGGGACTACCATTCAGTAGTGAACTATGGGCGCGGTCTGTGGAGACTGACCTTGAACTAACCAAATTTTTTTGGACACTCAATGACTAGCTGCTAGTGATTGTTGTTTTTTTTTTTTTTTTTTTTTTTTTTTGGCGCATTGATTTATATGGATGTTTTTTCTCTAAGTTCTTGTTAACAGTATTTTGTATTTGTCTTGTTGTCCTCCTCTTTCCAATCACATTTTGTTATGTTGGAAAGGGGATAAGAGGGTCATTGTCATACACTACAGAGGGCACCACCTGAAAAAAAAAAAACACCTTGGAGACACCTGACCTAAAGACAGTTTAACTTTCGGTCTCTCTTCTATCATAGACACCTGTTACATAAACGGATACTATCCTATTTCTTTGTTGACTTCATTCGGTCTCACTGTGTTATTATGAACCTTTCATCATTCGTATACAGTGGCTGCTTTATGCTGGGATTTCTCTAGACGGAAAGAGTTACAGTAATTGCTAGCTGGTACCTCGATTACGAGGGCTCTCGTTCAAGACTATCCCCTAGAGAAGGCCTTGGCTCATTCCCCAGGGAGAACAGTGAAAAAAAAATTTCGCTTCATTTGGACAATTGTACGAGAGTCCCACTGTGGAAGAAATCTTGAGTCTCACCATGTAGCATTGCCAAAGTACACTGTAGCCAACCTTTATTTGGGAGACAACACAGACACGTTATTTTATTCACCTAAAGAGTTCAAGGAAGGGCCCGCAACCCCTTCACACCATAATTTTGTAACGAGGCTAAGTGCTCCCAACCACACCCTCCCTGTACCCCACTCCAATGTTTTTTTGTTTGTAGGCGTCCCTAGACCATCACTATCTACAACATTTTCACGGCGTACTTCTGTCTTCCCCTGAAAATGTAGACGTTACCCTCATGGTGCTCCATGCACCTTATACTTCGATAGTACCTGAATCTTCCAGGAAAGATAAATCACTTTCACATAACATTGCTAAAATTGCTTCAAATGAATTCTGACAGGATATGATTCTAAGTATTATAGCTCTTGAAGAATCAGACTTACCAAGTAGTTGTAGCAGTAGTAGTAGTTGTAGCAGTAGTAGTAGTTGTAGCAGTAGTAGTAGTTGTAGCAGTAGTAGTAGTTGTGGCAGTAGTAGTAGTTGTAGCAGTAGTAGTAGTTGTAGCAGTAGTAGTAGTAGTTGTAGCAGTAGTAGTAGTTGTAGCAGTAGTAGTAGTTGTAGCAGTAGTAGTAGTTGTAGCAGTAGTAGTGGTTGTAGCAGTAGTAGTAGTTGTAATCAGGGATTTAAAAAAAATGACCAGGTACTCTCCACAAAGTATTTATTAAAGTAGCGTTGAAAAGAAAGTGGTGCTTTAAAAATGGTGCCAGTACTGTGCATACAGCTAGAAAAAAGCTCGGGTTGTAACAATATTAGTAATAATAACAGCAGCACCGGTATTAGTAGTAGTGATGGTGTAATAGTAACAGCAGCAACAGCAGCAGCATCAATATTAGTAGTAGTAGTAGTAGTAGTAGTAGTAGTAGTAGTAGTAGTAGTAGTAGTAGTAGTAGTAGTAGTAGTAGTAGTAGTAGTAGTAGTAGTAGTAGTGCTTAGTAGTAGTACTAGTAGCAGCAGCAGCAGCAGCAGTGTTTAGTAGTAGTATTAGTAGTAGTAGCATCAGCAGCAATAGTAGTAGTATTAGCAGTAGGCGAAGCAGCAGCAGTAGTAGTAGAGACGTCAGAACCTGTGGGCTCATGCAACTTGAGCTTCCATAAAAGATTAGGAAAAAAAGGGTGGGGGGGAGGGGTGGTACATTTGGCACACCAAAGGAAGGGAGCGTTAATGAAACACACTTTATGCACGGAGCTGATGAATCTGATTTGGTAGAATACTAGAGGGCTAATGTAGAAATATGAATGTGATGTTAAAGAGGGAGGGGTCTTTTATAGATTTTATCTAAATGAATTGCAAATTTTAACTCTAGAAAAAAAAAAAGTCAGTGGAGGAAAGTAAAGAAGAGGGAAGGGAAGAGGAGGTGGAAAGAAAGAAGAAGAAGAACAAACAAATTTTATTTTCAAAGGGTCACACACTGGGCACCCAAGGACGTCTTACATTCGACCCTTCCCAACCCCCATCTTCCACATAGCAGCTGAAGAAGAAGCAGCAGCAGCAGCAGCAGCAGAAACAGAAGAAGAAGGATGCTAAGGACAACAAGATTATTGTAACATAAAAATGTAATATTAAGCATATTAAAGACAGAAGTCAATAAACTTTGCACACATGTTTATTTTCATTGAATAGGCTGATGGTGTCATAATACCAGCAAATAGTCAAATTAGAAGATGATTAACAAACCATGAGGTTTATTTAGAAATATAATCTCAGAGTTATACACAACTCTTGCCAAATCCTCAAGGCGGGTGCCACATGCAAAAGATTGAAAACCACTGGCCTAGACTGTCTTGTAGAAAGTTCGGTGAAGACAAAGGAAAATTTCAAACGCCATTAGGTAGTAACCATACTCGGGGCAGACGTGTATTTTTGTAGGATAATCAGCACAAGGTGGAGAAATATTTTAACGTCACTTGTCTGCTTGTTTAAAAACCCCTCCGAGCTGCTACACTGAGGTTTTTTCTTACTGTTTCTTCTGCGTTAAACTTTAAACTGGCGGTTAGAAGGCTGTGTTGTAGTTTACAGCTAATCTCCGCTACTTGGCCCAACATATTCGATGTAATCAAATGCCTAATTAGTCACTTTTTACATGTTTCTATGTGGCAGTTGATCCCCCCCCCCCACCATTTCCCCTCACTTGACCCTCAAAACCTAAATGGGAGATAAAAGTGACTCCTTGAATATAAAAGTACCCGAGGAGGGAGAGCTGGCGAGAGACCGGGTTTCTTTCAGGCAGACTGTGATGAGAGCGACGTTCTGAAAAGGCTCTGCTACATGATAACGATGAAGGTTTCATCATCATCCTTGAGATTCAAGAGTCTTATCCGGGTGGAAGATCAATAGGGCAAATCCAGTATACCCGGTTCAGCCTCAAAAGAAGTAGTAATAAAGGTAATGTATCAGCTGCAATAGGCTGAGGTGCCATAACCCAGAGGTGTCATAACTTGAGGGCTGAGGTACCTTGAGGCCCTCCCACCCCCCCCCTCCCCCCAGTAATTCTTACGGAGCCAAGGCACCTCTCAGAGAACATTTGCAAGGCGCAAAATGCCCCCCCCCCCCCCGCCAAGCATGGGAAGATGGTCTCTTTGTATGCATTTATTTATATTTTTTCACATTTTTTGGGTTCAAAAATGTTAGTATATTTGTTTGTCAATTTAGCACAAAATAATATTTCTTCTTCTTCTTCCATTTACCCTACAGTGAATCGCAGGTACTCAACCATTTCATGCCAAGTGGCCCCTATATTATAAATATATCCAGTTTCGTCCTTATCAGGATGAATTTTTTGGTTATTTGAAGCCCCACCCTGGCTTTTTCCAGGGGCCGCAATATAGGCAGGCCATAAATATGACCAATTATCTGAGCGCGGTTTCTGGGACCTCTCCACGGCGATCCTCATCCACATGGTGGCACTTTGTGTCATCGGGTGTTTATCGCTTGTGTGATGTCCTAGTGGGGTAGAAAGTCAGTCAGTCAGTCTGTAAGTGGCCCTATCATTAGCTATAGTATTCAGGTGTCCACACACTATCTTTTTTTTTTAAATCTTCACTTTCTAGCTCCAATGTCTGGTTGTTTTTTCCGCTGCCTTTATTTCTATGCCTCTGTTAGTTCCATACTGCGCATTTAAACAAGGCATGAGCCACGTCCATAGAAAATTAAAAGGGAGTTGAGACTCTCACAGATTTCAAGGTTGGAAGCCTGTCTGGCGCCATCTGCAATCCTGTCAGGGTGAAAGGTTATGTCACATCACTTGTACACAGGGAAATTAAAAATAATTAATTAAAAACGAAACAACTATTTGGTTCTCCTCACAGATTTTGCATGTGAAAATATACCGTTAGTACTCTTCTCATTCTCAGGTGAGGAATATTTACTATCATCTGTTTGAACTCTGCTTTTGGGCATGCCCATCTCTTCGACATTACTTCTGATACTGTCACTAGAATCACGAGAGACCAGTCGGCCCTTGTTCATTCTTTTGCCTTCGGCTTCTTCCGCTGAGTCACGTCTTTCTGTTAGACTTTTGGGTGGATTATCTTTATGTATGTCTTTAGACTTTGTCTGCTCCGCGTCGTTGCTGCTTTGACTACTTTTATTTGAGTCACGGGACACAAGTCTGGCTATGCTTCTTTTTTCTGCTTTGGTGTTTTCTTTTGCCTGCTGTTTATCTGTGCCAATTGTGGAGGTGCAGTTTTGAAATTGTTCAATAGCTTCCGGCCCCATTCGGCAAATTTCCAGTGGCGGGTTCTCCAAAGGATTTCCATCAAGAGTTGATGATGTGTACCTAATTGTGAAAGAAAAATATATATTAGTTAGCACCAACATCACCACTGATCAATGTCATAATGAAGACTAACAGACTGCAATATTTGGGGTGTATATAGAGGTACATGCTGATGGAGATCGCAGATTTTAGAGAGGCATGATCGCCCACGCCAGTCGGAAAGGCACCTGATGATGAAGGTAGAGAATGGCAGGAAACAAAGGGACACAACTGTAAACACAAAAGAGTGAGAAGGGAACAGATCAAGTGGCAGACATAGATGATGGCAAAGAGATAATATAAATGTGCATTTGAAAACACAGCTATTATTCCACTTCTTAAACCAAAGATCACTGGAGACTCAGCGGTTTCAGGATGATGATGATCATCATCAATTTCCACTTCTGCCGTTAAGCACCGTGGGAAGGAACAGTTTGCGATCCATTGCTTGATGGGCAGCAATGGCTACTGTCATTCTGTGTCAATGTAGTAGCTCTTTGATGTCATCATTACATGTTCCCCTAGGGCGACCTCTTGCTTTGTTCAGAAAGTCAAACATGTGTCCGAAAACCCAACCGTAAGCTTGACACTTGGTCGTCCAGGTAAGCTGTGTACTCTAATTATGCTTCCGCAGCGACTATGTAAATACACTTCGAATCTCACAGTACCTTTTGCTCAGTCACCAATTTCGTCTTGTCCCTGTCTGATAACATCCGGTAATACGTGCAGCAGGAGAAAATCAACCCTCAGCTTCATGAACTCAGGTGGGCCCACTCTCTGAAAATGTCTAGGAGCTCATGGGCAGAAACATTTGTCGACGAGAGATTACTTCTACTTATGATTGGTAGACTCCTGCTGTACATGCTTCCCTGTGGAGTTTCTTTTTATAGATGTTTTTATGTGTAGCATCTGCATTGGTAGTTGTTTCTGGCTGCATTCTTACTAGATGACCAAACCATTCGATCTTCTGTTTCTCAATGAATTTGCTGCATGATGTTGTTTCCAGTCTGATAATATCATTTCTAACGTTGTCTGTTGATTGTTGAATTAGGAATCGACATCACAGCACTCGGGACACTCCCATAAGTGCTCAGTCCCATTTTCAGCAGCAAGCAAAGAGTTCCAATTCCAATGGTACCAGTAACTGTCTGATTGTAAATCCGTCTTCTCCTTACCCTGAGTGTTGAGCGTCGACCAGATCCCCTGGTAACTCCTCACAGCGCCATTCTCCTTAGACCATAATGATCTATCTGTGCCTCCGCACTGTTCACTCGCTCCCAAAGGGCCCTCACAATATCTAACTTGGCATACATCAATTCACCACCAAGTGGTGCGGAGCCAGACAGTCCATCTGCCTGTTCATTTTCCAACACATCGGCATACCTGAAGAAAATATCCAAAGGATGCTAACCACCCGGGACCTCTGAAGTGATGCTTGCGACTTTGCCCGAAGCATGACTGTTTTCACCTTTCTCAACATGCTCTGTGGGTCAGTTACAATCAAAGCATGTGTGTACAGCTGATTCTCAAGCCAGCGGAAGGCAGCAGAGACTGCCTCCACCTCCATTCTCAAACTAGACGCTGTGATATCATATGCAAGGCTTTGCTGCACTAGGCGACGTCCATTCGCCTTTGCTATGAAACCCCATGTACTTCATCTGCCCCTCAACACAGAGCCATCTGTATAGATAATCACATCACCTAGGCGGGAATTGTCATGAATCATTTGTTGAACTTTGTCTCTGATGGTTAAGTTGGCAGCTTTTCTCAGGTGTTAATTTTACATAGGTTAGACTGTGATAATGTCCAAGTCTGGCACTGCTAGCACTGTATTGCTATGAATATGCTGTTTGTAATATGTTTCTTGGATGATCACTCTATAAAATACCTTTGGCAAGGTGCTGGAGAAGATTAATGCTGTTAAACTGCAAACATTTTTGGAGTGAAGAGCTCCTGCCAAGAGGTCTGAGCAGTTAACAGCCAGGGTAAGATGACTGTTTAAACACCACCGCTTTTGCTTTTGATGTTTACGACGGGTTCCAGAACAGACAGGGGACAAGATCACTTGATCTTGAGGATGCCTACACTAGATCCAGATATGATATTTTGATATATGTGCTCATGGAGAAGGGATTTTGTCCCTGGCTGGTGAACTGGATAGCAGCTGTCCTGCAGTCACATATGGTTTCACTCCGCCTGGGTAAACGTCATCAGAACCTTGCAATATTGCCTGGGTCTACCCCAGGGTTCTGCAATTTCACCAGTGCTCTTTAAGGGATAGTACTAGCAAGGATTGAGTGGCGTTAGAAAAAAATCAATTTTTAAGATATGATAAATGGGATTGAATGGGAGTGGCAGGACAGTCATTTGTTGATGCCATTTTGGTCTATCATCATGGAAGAAAGTGTCACGAGATTGCCGTTGCAATGCAGAGCGAACATGGTCACAACCTCTTCGTGTGAGGACTCCAGTGCACATGTCGACCCTTCAAAAGCCTCCGTAATGTAATTCTCCTTGAGCACTCATTTGGTTAAGGCAGACCTACCAGTGGTGGAAATTAGTGGCGAAGCCTTGACAAGAACACACCCGATGACATAGCTGGGTGTAAAGTTTAATCTTAGTATGTCCTTCAAAGACCAGGTCAACCATGTTATAACGAAGGCCCGTAAGGGCTTATCGGCAATGAGGGTCCTGGCCACCGTCAACATCGAGCAGAGACTGCTTCTGTTCCAGGGACTTGTTCTTTCTCTTTATCACTTTTGATTGAAGCCTTTTCTTCGAGGACGATGTGGGGGCAGTTTGGGAGAAATATCAAAAAGGACTCAGTGAGCTGAAGATCGTAACAGCAATGGACATGGAGCAAAGAATGGTGTTCACAGTGTTACAGCATCTGATCCTCTGGGTGATAGATTGTGGACATGGAGTGCTTAACTTATCAAAGAGATGGAACTTGAACGCATATTGAATGAAGCCATAGGGATCATTAACCAGAATGACCCCTGTAGAACGCTTGTGATGTATACTTGCACTGTTGACTATTAGGATAGTCTTAAAGTGCCACAAACGAAGTCATATTTCAGAGTAGCTGCAGACAAGCAGAACCTCCTGCCTGAAGCGCTGGGTAGAGTTAAGGATCAGACTAAAAAGAGGAAGGTCTTGGATGGCGCAAGGTGAACATACATTTAGACATGTGTGTAGGCTTGATAATATGGGCGAGGAGAGGAATATGTGGAAATTCTGAGCAACAGTCAGACATTAAAAGGGTTCTAATCCCATTGGGAAGTGAGTGCTGGGAGTGGGCCAGTGGGCGTTGCAGAATCAGCAGTTCGACAAATGACTGATACCCCTCCCTCCCCCTTCCACCCTAACCTTTCCTCGCAGATAATGTTATTATCCATACAGCGAGCTCTGCATTGAGAGGCAGGCGAAGTGCATGAGGGTTCTCAGCAAAAGCGAGTGGAAGTAACTTAGTGAAACAAAGCCTGGCATATGATACCACAAAATCTAGTTGGAGAATGGAGATGGAGGCAGTCACTACAGCCTTCCGCTGGCTTGATAACCAGCCATACAAAAATGTACTTGTAAATGACTCACAGAACATGCTTAGAAAGGTGGAGACAGGTATGTTCCCTACACAGTGGCAGGCATCGCTTCAGAGGTCGCGTAGTTGGATAGTTTGTCTAGATATACTGGTGTTTTGGGAAACGAATAGCTGGACAGGCAGGCTGATTCTGCAGCATTTGATTGTGAACGGATGCAGACAAGCTAGATGTTGTAATAATCCTTTGGGGAGTTAGACAACAGAGAAGAGGCACAAACAGATGATCACGGTCTGGTGAGGAGTGGCCAGGGGATCTAGCTGGCGCTCAACATCACGGTCTGGTGAGGAGTGGCCAGGGGATCTGGCTGGTGCTCAACACCCAGAAGGATGCAAGACGGATATACAGTCAGACAGGTGATTAGTGATTAGAAAGGATTAACATCACAGCACTCCGGACAGATCCATAGGTGCTCCGATCTCCTCCTCAAAAGCTCCACAAGTGTAAAACGACTGATGACGATTGTTCTGTGTTGGTTAATGAAACGTCTTGTCCTCTTAGTGAAATGTTCATTTCTTGCAGCTCCAGGCCGCACGCCCATGTCCATCAGTCTAGACAGAGATATGGAGTCATGTCCTTTGGCGTATTCCTCGGTACGGTAAGTGCAGCACTTGGCATTGATAACAACACTTCTGTCCAGTACTGGGCCCGGTTCCACAGGCACTGGGACTCTGCGCTTGTGGCTGAAGACCGGGTGCTTAAAGGAAATACCCGGAGTGCTGTGAAATCGGTTCTGAACCCAACGTGACTCAATGTAACTTAACTCAAATTCAAAATAAAAATCGGCACCTTTCTTTCCAGTCCAGTTTCGCTAGACGTCCAAAATCTCTTGGCAAGGCCCTGATGTGGTTGTTACCCAGCCACAGACAGCGTAGGTTCGTCATGTGGACTATAGTGTCCGGTAGTTTTGTCAGCTGGTTGATGAACAGGAGCAGTGTCTCCAGGTTGGTCAGTTTACTGATTGTTGAGGGCAAAGCCTTAGAGTAAAAGAACAGTTATACACTTGCACGCTTTGTAAAACATAGGAGAACTGACACTGATTTCGCTGAACTGATTCGCTATTGTATTAAATGTGATTAGAAAGCTCAGAGAAGGGAATAGATCAATTTCCTCCGTTCAGCTTTCTACCTCTTGTCACATTATATAACTCCTACTCTGTATTGGTTTGCTGTTATATATGTTAATATTAATATTCTTCTTCTTCCTCTTCACGTTCACCAGCTGTAAACTCTGGTTAAAGTTCTGGCTGTGCATCCACTTCTGGACTGCAGTCTTGTTCCAGAACCGGAGTGTTGCGTGTGCATCCGTTTTATAAATCTGACTCATGTGTATGCAGACTGCTGGTTCCTTGCCTCTTAGGCAGATGCACTCTGACTTTGAAGGATGCTTCCCGTTAGTCTACTCTTACGACATGCTTTTGGGTAGGCAGTGGGTCTATTCTTGTTTTCCTTACCACAGGGTACCCGAACCCACACAGGGATAAATATGATTAATATACGTTTCTGTTTCCGTGTTGCATGTGATAAGTATTTCCATTCTCCATTCTCTCCGTTGAGCTTTACAGTCACATTTTAAGTTATTTAGCTCTTCTTGTCATCAACGTGACTTCAGTCGCTGCAGTCACCCTCTATTTACGTCGCTAATTTTGATCAGAGGTTGGAAACGTTTTGTGTGTGTCCGCAGGGCATACATTTACAATGATCAACATGGTCAACAGCGAATCTTGGAATGTCAGTGAACAAATTCGGAAGAATTTGGAAGCAACAGAGGTGTGGTTTCATTTGTGTGGCATTCTCTTTATTCCTTTATCTACATATGTCACCCAGAAGAAACCCTTTAGGGCAGCCACATCTAGACTAGTTAGTCCTCAAGAGAAAGCAGAGGCAGATCATATGTATTCCTCGCCTTCCAAGGGGGCTTCCATAAATGCTCAGCCCACTCATGACACTCTGGTCCTGGGCTCACTTAAGGAATCGTCGCGTCCTGCAGATATCTGCTTAATCTCACATCTGTATGTTGAGATTTCCAGTCGTTGATCGAGGTACGGAGCTCGTGTGTGTTGTTTTCTCCCACTGGGCTACTACAAGAAGGACTGACACCTTAAGATTTAAAAATCTTAATACGGACAGCAGAAAAACAGAGCAAAGCCCAGATTCCCCATTCAACAACCTAAGAAGCCATACGTTTTAATCAAGTAATTGTAGTTGCAACTTCAACGCAAACGGGTCATCCCCCAGCTGCTCTGCTCCTGTACCAACGAAAACCACGCAGAGCAGCGGTTCTCAAGCTGAGGGTAGCGACCAATTTGAGGTCACCGCAACATGAGGAACTGTATTAAAAGGTCGCAGCATTAGGAAGGTGGAAAACCACTGGCGTAGAATGTCCATCACTGTCCCTTCTGAGGAAAAAAACTGACACAGACTGCAGTCTTAGCAATCCAACAGCATACACACGCACGCTTATGCATAAGGCAGCCGTCAGAAGTGCCAATAAGTTATAACTGGGGCGCCAGTAATGGCTGCACAAGGCTGATGTAACTTGCATTAAAGGGCGGACAAGAATAAAATCGACAGCGGAGTGCATGCTTTGTACAACGCTATTAGAGTGACTAAGCCACTTTGTGGAAAGAGACCGGGCTGTGTGGGTTAAAACCCCAATGCATTTGAGTCTATAACTCGTTTTAGTAGCAAAATAAAATGAACGTTTTTTTTTTAAAAAGGAAAAACCGGTTACAAAAGATGCTGATACTCGCCATAATCTGTCTTCTACATTAGCGTTTGAAAAAAAAAAAAAAAAAAAAGAAATGATACCCAAAAAGGTGCTATTACTGAGTTGTTCGTCCATTTGGACTTCGGCTTCGTGCCAGGGCCTGAGTTTTGCGTTCACATCCGTTTTACTGGCTCATTTGTGTGCAGGTGGTTGTTCCTTGCCTCTCTGGTAAATGTATCTTGACTTCGAAGGAAGTTACCAGTTAGTCGACTCCTACAACATGTTTGTTAGGCAGCCAGTGGGTCAGTTCTTGTTTTCCCCCACAAAGGCACACAAAGGAGATGGATGAGGAGGAGGAGGCAGAGGCAGAAGAGGAGGAGGACAACAATGATGCTTAACTAAGAACTTTGATAGTAGGAGTCAACAGGGGAGCTTACCCGCAGAAAATTATCACTGAAGTCCAGAAACACAAGACAGGTAATTTCACAAACTTCTGCGGGAAATTTGGAGAATTTGTTGTTGGCCAGATGCAAGCTTGTTAATTTCTGCAATCGCTGGATTCCGTTGGGCAGCTCTGAGAGATGGTTGTTGCTGAGTGCCAACCGCTCTAAGTTGGTCAGCAGGGTAATCTCGACTGGCACCTGAAACAAAAACACAATTACCTCCAGCATACCCGGACAGTCGTTTCTAGAATACTTTGAATACAATTAGTCATCACCTTGTTACTATCTAGCCACCCCTTTGTGGGATGCAATTTTTCGTTATTTGAAGCCTTACACTAGCTCTTGCCAGGGGTCGCAATATAGCCCAGCCATAAATATGGCCCAATGGCTGAACGCGGTTTCTGTGACCTCTCCATGGGTGATCCTCATCCACATGGTGGCACATTGTGTCATCGGGTGTTTATCGCTTGTGTGATGTCCTGGTGGGGTGAAATCTACTAAATTAAAAAGTAAGCCTTGTTACCACCCCGACTGCCCCTTTCCCACATGCTAGATGAATTTTTCGTTATTTTGAAGCCCTGCCCAGGTTGTTGCCGGGGGTCCTAATATAATCTAGGGGTTAAACGGGGTTTCTGGGATCTCTCCCCGGTTGATCCTCATCCGAATGGTGGCACCTTGTGTCACCGGGTCTTTATCGCTCAGTGTGATGTCCTGGTGGGGTAAAAAGTCAGTCAGTAAAAAGTAGCCGTCTTTCCATATTTTCAGAAATACCCCTATACAACCTACAGAGAAAGAATTTGATCCACACACTATAAATGCACAAGAAGAAGTGATTACCTCAAGAAGTTCGTTCGTGTCCAGTAACAATGTTGTCAAATTGAGAAGTTTGCCAATCTCTGCAGGCAGCGTACTTAACTTGTAATCCAAGCAAGCTTCTCTTTCTGGGCTCAGATCCAACACCTGAAACAAAGAGAATAACACTCTAAACAACCAGTCAATCAATCAGATGTCCACAACGATCGATTTATCGGTTTTTGATACCTAACGATTTACTATACCATTCTGATAATTTAAAAAAAAAAAATCCTCATCTAAACGACAGACCAACAAGGCAAATCCTAAACGCCCCGTTCATCCCCCAAAGAAGTTATAATTGGGGCACTCAAAACGACTATGCTAATTGCCTTTACTTAATGACTTCCCCTCTTATATCTCCGTCTCCTGTCGAGGTTGTTCTCTCCTCCCCGTCTCCTTTTTCAAACTTCCCCTCCCTTGAGAACATTTATTAGAGAGCGCAGTAGAAGTAGTAGCAGCAGCAGTAATAGGAGCAGCAGCAGCAAAAGAAGTAGTAGTAGTTGTAGTAGTAGTAGTAGTAGTAGTAGTAGTAGTAGTAGTAGTAGTAGTAGTAGTAGTAGTAGTAGTAGTAGTAGTAGTAGTAGTAGTAGTAGTAGTAGTAGTAGTAGTAGCAGCAGTAGTAGTAGTACAAGTACAAGCAGCAGCAGTCGTAGAAGAAACAGCAGCAGCAATAGTAGGAAAAGCGGCAGTACCAGCAGCAGTAGCAGCAGTAATTATAGTAGAAGCAGCAATAGTAGTAGTAGTCGTAGTCGTAGCAGTAGTAGTAATAGTAGTAGCAGCAGCAGTTGAAGAAGAAGAAGAAGAAAAAGAAGAAGAAGAAGAAGAAGAAGAAGAAGAAGAAGAAGAAGAAGAAGAAGAAGAAGAAGAAGAAGAAGAAGAAGAAGAAGAAGAAGAAGAAGACGAAGAAGAAGAAGAAGAAAAAAGAAAGAAAGAAAGAGAAGAATTGGGGTCAATAATGACGTCTGCAATGATGATAATGATTTATCCGATGAGACTATACACTTTTCTGCTAATGATGGTGATGATGAAAAACATGATGATGACAGAACACTAACCTCAAGTTCAATCAAGCGGAAAACTGCCTTGGGTAAATGCATGAGATCACGTCCTTGTATTTTCAGCTTCTTTTGCCCATAGTACATTGGATCTTCTGTCTCGATGAGTCTACGCATGCTTTTCATCGTTAATGCCATGATCGTTTCGATATTTCCTGTGTGATAATTTGTGGTTTTGTTCCTCTTCTGGCACCCTAGGCGTTGGGTGGCTGTGTTTTTAAAATTCCCCGAGAGTTTAATTAGATAGTAACTAAAAACGTTACAGTATTGTGATTTTTTTTATTTGTCCAGCTCGTCCCTCTACAGCGTGAGAGTTAAATTCTTAAATTCTTCGCCCATACTCTTTGGGATACTGTTCATCTGTAGAAAGAAAGGAATGGAAATGTAATGCAGTTTGGATCAAACAACGTACAGGTCATCCTTCTCCTTCTCCTCCTCCTTCTTCTCCTCCTCATTCTCCTCCTCCTCATTCTCCTCCTTCTTCTCATCATTCTCCTCCTCCTCCTTTTTCTTCTTCTTCTTCTTTTTCTTCTTCTTCTTCTTTTTCTTCTTCTTCTTCTTCTTCTTCTTCTTCTTCTTCTTCTTCTTCTTCTTCTTCTTCTTCTTCTTCTTCTTCTTCTTCTTCTTCTTCTTCTTCTTCTTCTTCTTCTTCTTCTTCTTCTTCTTCTTCTTCTTCTTCTTCTTCTTCTTCTTCTTCTTCTTCTTCTTCTTCTTCTTCTTCTGAATTTCAACTCTCCACGGAGCAAATCCCCCCCCCCCCCCTCAAACCACTAACCAGTTAACGCTTTAAAGATTCTGTATTTTAAACTTTTTTCCCTAGTGAAATACCGAGATTAAAACCGCCATCTTTACATGACACCAGCGCTTCCCAGATAGAACAACTATGTCTCGGTCCTCAGTCGACAAGTATTCAGTGACAGTCACGCTGCTAATAGATTCTTGGTGCCAAATAAGTATAAGGATGTTTACTGACATTCATATAGGACATTTCCCCATTTGGGTTTCGGGGCCCCACTTTGATGAACACAATAATATATCTATTGTCCCCTAACAAGCATGTCGTAAGAGGCAACTAGTTAGGATTGTCTCCTTCGAATTTGTAATGCTTCTGCCTGAGAGGTGAACAACGAAGTGTCTGTATACAATTAAGCCACATGTCTAAGTGGGTGTGCACGAAAAATCCAACTTCTAAAACAAGATCAAAATCCAAAAGTGGGCGAACAACCAGTACTTACCACCGGAGTTTACGGTCAGTGAGCTCTAATAAGAAGAAGCAGTTATAAGATATTGACGATGGGATTCGGGAAACGAACACACGACCCTCATAACGAGACTCCCCCCTGAAACAACCAGTCTTGCTTGTTTGTTGTACCTCACCAGGACACCACACAAGCGATTAACACCCGGTGACACAAAGTGAAACCAAGCTGATGAGGATCACCCGTGGAGAGGTCCCAGAAACCCCTCACAGCCGTTATGGTCACAATTATGGCCCAGCTATATTCAGGGTATCCGGCAAAAAGCCAGGGTGGGGCTTCAAATAACGAAAAATTGCATCCCACAAGGGGACGACTTAGCAATAATATTGCAGTGGCCAATAGAACACACAACCAGTCATCACATAACATGCTATTGCACTACTACATAATGGCACCAAAGTTAATGTCAGATCTCCGAATGTCTAGCTTTACCACTTACCTGTTAAATTTAATATCCGAATAGATTCACCTGGATGTCAAAACGTCTTTAATAATGCAGCGTTCTTTAGTTTACCCTCACAGAATTATCAATATTCATACGTGCCTTCCATGTTCTTTGATCGAAAGCTAGATTTACAATTGTCAGTCAACATTCGAGATTTTATATTGATCTTTGCAGAGATTGGCAACGAAACTTAACAGTGGCCCGTGTTCGGTAAAGCATCTGTGGTTTGGTAATGGCTAGCATGTTTAACTACCGGTCTGATGGTCGTGTGTTCAAGTCTCCATTGAGGCTGGGATTTTGTCAAATTCTGTATTATGGGAGTTGGCTCTGTGGCTAAGTCGATGCGAACGCTTCGTAATGCCGAGGTGCCGGGTTCGATCCCAGCTGCGGGCCATGCGCCCTGCGTTGGTTTCGACAGTGGTATCAGGGGGCCGACTGTTCTGAAAGCAATGGCAAACTACTAGACGTAAAATTTTCATAGAGAAGCCAGACAACAGCCAGGGGCTGCTGGTGTTGGTTCTGCAACGTCCTGTTAAGGATACGCAACTAATCTATGTATTATGGGAGTCAAATGGTATGATAGAATCGCTAATATTTGGCTTCGAGGGAGAACTAAAATTCCAATGAACGAAGAGGGAAAGAAAAGACGCCTATGTTGGATAGGGCACACACTGAGAAACCCTGAGAACAATTAACTAGTATGTCCTTCCATTGGACCCTTAAGGGACTTGAAATTAACTGTACCAACGGAGAAGGGAGCTAAATAGTGAATTTAAATAGTTGGGGAATCATGGGTTGAGCTGCATAAGATTGCAAAATATAGGACACTCCTCCTCAAAGGCTCCATACGCGTAAAACGACTTATGTGTTGGTTAATGAAACGTCTTGACACCTTAGTGAAATGTCCATTTCTTGCGTCTCTATGTTGCACCCCCACGCCCATCAGCGTAGACAGGAATACGGAGTCATGCCCTTTGGCGTGCTCGTCATCACGGTAAGTGCTGCGCGTGGCATTGATAACATTGCAACTGTCCAGTACTGGAACAGCTATTGCAAGAAAATCTGCACGCTCGTTCCATTGAACACCCGCATGCACTGGCACAAAGATGAAGGTCAGAGCAGCTATTCTCGAAACGCTGAGTTTTGCAATCCATTCTTGTAAGATAAAACCAGCTTGGATTTTTTAAAGCTGATTCACTGAGTCACTAAGTATGCACGCGTATGTGAACTCTTGAGTACCAAGTCATGCTAATGTTCTGGTTACAGCCACAGTTTCCTTTGTGAGGCAATTAGTTGTAACAGCAAAAGCGCCATTCCTCTCCTTGATAGGGTCAGAAGAAGGAGAATACAAATATGCACATGGCGACGCGTAGCTACAATTGGCGGAGCTGCTGCTTCAGGCAGTTTTCAGTAATTGTTTAACAAATATGTCCTCGGCGTTTAACGAGGTTCGATTCCCACGATGGCAGCGATACGAGAGTTGCACCGTGGAACGGAAGATATTGGGCCCTTATCATGTAATATTCTTATAGTCAGCAGTGAAAACGTTGCAGCCAACTTCCTTGTGGAGACCACCATTTCTTAAATATTGTGTAAAACGGAACAAACATTAATATATAAATATATATTCTTATACATAAACTTGACAAAATCATTTTAAAAAATTATTCATAGATTCAGTTGTTTCAAGGGAACCATCATGATGTAGCGGTTAGACGCTTGCCTGCAATTCAGTAGTTAGTGAGTTCAGATCCTGACAGAGCAGGACTTTAAAAAACAAAATGATCTTGGCTCCTAGGTCGACCCAACCTTAAATGGGTGGCAGGTAAAGTCCTGGGAAGTAAATGCGGTCTTAGAGATGACGATCACATCCCCAGCCGAGTGCCTCTTGGTCTATAAAATACGGGTAGCACAGTCTTAGTATAAACAAGATGTTTATAACCTGTTTCTTGGCGCTCAGACTTCTGTTTGGACGTCTTAATAACTGCATCAGTTGGTATATAAGTGAACTAGCTCGTTTGCATCTTGTTTCTATTCCCCGATCTATTCTCACGTCCTCCAAAAGTATTTTAAAAAAGGAACGGTCCTTTTTCCACGCCTTTAGGCATATAAGGCATCTATGGCTAGACCTATATTTTTTAAGACCAATCTGTACTGGTAGTCTGGTAGTGTTAGTTTCAGCTTCATAGCAACGGGTCGCCCTATCTTTGCTCCGCTCCTGTGCCAACTAAAAACACCCAGAATGTTTATCACAGTCCCTTGTGGGAAGATTGACAGACTGCTGTCTCAGCATAGCTAGCATACACTCGCATTAAAGCATACGGTAGCCATCCGAAGTGCTAACACAAACAGTCCAACATTAGAAATGCAGTTCATCATTGATGATAGCAGAACTTGTCGCCAACAGTTCAGCAGTTGTCCACGCCATCAATTTTAACCAGATACGGGCACCGCCAACATTGCACATCATTTTCTGAATCTACAATTCACACCACCACGTTGGTCACAGTCGAAAATACATTCCAAATGCAATCCGCAGCTCACAGGGTCACGCCATGCCTTCAACTCAGAAGCTGGGCGACGAAACTATATCCAGTCTAAAAATGGAGCAAAAATACTTCGGCCACCGTCCGGCAGAAGCAAAAAATTTGCCTCTGCTTCGAACAGCGCCGCTGTCTAGCGTCCATTTTAACCGGAAGTCGGTACAAGAGGGTGATGTGGTCAGCACCACGCCGGCCGCCTTAACTTTCCGGGACAGCACCCGGTACCGACTCAAGGCTGGGTCGACCTGGGAATCCGAGAATATACTTCCTGGATATTAAAATTCTTAAACCTGCTTCAGGCAAGTACCATTCACCTCTGTATGTAGCTGGCTAGAAATTCGAAACTAATAATATTGAATAAAGATAGGAGCTGCTGCAGTTCCGTATTGAGATTCGCTATATACTTTTTAGTGGACATGCGAACCAAGTATAAGAGGGCACGGCCTTCTCTATATAATTACAGACGGCGTTGAAGAGGGGTAGCAAGACATGTTCTGGAAAACAAAGGGGACGACAGGGATTAAATCTGTATAATGAAATAAACTTTAACATTTGCCGGCACATTATCATTCTGGCTGTGACGCCCTACTCTCAAAAGAATATCACAGAAGGACAAAAGGACAAAAGAGTAGGAGTGGGAGGAAGAAGAAAGGGAATATAATAAGAAGCAGTGAAGAAGTAGAAGAGGAACAAGAAGAAGAAGAAGAAGAAGAAGAAGAAGAAGAAGAAGAAGAAGAAGAAGAAGAAGAAGAAGAAGAAGAAGAAGAAGAAGAAGAAGAAGAAGAAGAAGAAGAAGAAGAAAAAGAAGAAGAGAGGAAGGTAGAGGGAGGAGGGAGAGGAATAATAATAATAATAATAATAATAATAATAAGAAGACGGCGATGATGAAGA